TTGTCATGATCCACACAATCGAAAGCCTTTGCATAGTCAATAAAGCATAGTAAACATCCTTCTGGTATTCTTTGCTTTCAGCCAAGATCCATTGGACATCAACAATGATATCTCATATACTTGGTAAAGGGAAAAATATAGTTCTGGTAGCATAGTGGTTATGAATTGGGCTGCTACTTCCATAAAGATATACAGCCTCAGAAACCCCATACAGGGTGACCATGAGTCTGCCCGACTCCATGGCACATAACCATTACCACCACATCATAATAACACATAACTGTCATGATTTAATGAGTTCGCATTGTATTTTTATCAGTGGTGAACATAGTGGTCAACGAGAGTCAATACAGATAGATAGATAGATAGATTTGGAGTCCTGGTGTGGCACTGTGGGTTATGCAGTGGACTGTAAAGTTGGTTTCAACCACAAGGTTGGTGGTTCAAGTTCACCATGTGCTCCTTGGTAATCCTTTATAGGGTCACTAAGGAGCCCTGGTAGCCTAGTGGTTATGAATCGGGCTGCAAACCTCAGGGACAGCAGTTCAAAACTACCAGCTGTTCCTCTGGATAAAGATGAGGCTTTCTGCTCCCGTCAAGATTTACAACCTCAGAAACACAGTACAGGGTCGCTGTGAGTTGGAACAGAGTCCAAGGCACATAACCACCACCACCACCATGGGTCGATACCAAGTCAATGACACTCAACAACAACAACATATGTATATATATATATAGGATCTCTGGTAGTGTAGTGGTTATGAATCGGGCTGCGAGCCGCAAGGTCAGCAGTTTGAAACTACCAGCTGTTCCGCTGGAGAAAGATGAGGCTTTCTGCTCCCGTAAAGATTTACACCCTCGGAAACCCTGTACAGGGTCGCTATGGGTCGGAACCGACTCGAAGGCACTTAACAACAACAACAATATATACATATATATGTTGTTGTTGAGTTCCATCTTGTTTTTTACGACTCATAGTAACATTTATAGGGTTTTGGAGGAGCCACTTTGCAGTTCAATCTGACCTTGCTTTCCAATGCATTATCCTGTAGAATCACACCAGGATATATATATATATATACACACACACATACATATATATAGTTGTTGTTAAGTGCTGTTGATTCCGTTCCAAGTTATAGTGATGTAAAATATTGCTTCAAAACATCCTACACGTTAATCCAGTCGAAATATGTGATTTCATATGTTGCAAAAATTGCCAAAGTATCGTACAGTTACAATACAAATAGTTAACAATAAATACAATTTATTTAGAACTTAGTGTTTGATGAACATTATGCTGGAATATATCTCTTTTAGACATTATAACAATTCTGAAAGACAAGTAATATTATCTCTGTCTTACACATGAGAAAACTTAGTCCTTGTTAGGTCAAGACATTTAGCTATTAGCTTTCAAAATCCAATGACCTAAGATCACATTGGTGGGGTTTTCAAAGTCTGTGAACTTATAAGATGGGGGAGGGGGAGCAGGGAGGAATCCTCAGTGCATTTTTTCTTACCAATACAGTTTTAAATTTTCTTACTAGTAAGCCACCATGACTATGCTGTGTTCTTCAAGAAAATCTATCATGATTACCCATTTGTGATTACCAAAACAGTAGCCATAACCTTCTGAGCTGATTTCTATGCTTCAAATTAACCAGCCCAGCAGATCAACGTGGTAGCCACTTTTTGACTGGAGCTTTTTATTTGTTTGTTTTGGGTGACACCAGTCCTATATTTGGCACTGTGGGTTAATGCACCAGATTGCAAAGCCATTTGCAGTTCAAACTCACCAGCGTCTCCTCAGAAACCCTATACAGGGTCGCTCTGGTTTGGAATCGACTCAACAACACTTAACAACAAGAGCAACAAGGAAAGTAGGTGTGGCACTGTGGGTGAATGCAAAATCAGTTTGAACAGCAAGTTCGGCAGTTTAAGCTCAGCAGCTGCTCCTCAGAAAGCCTGTACAGGGTCACTATGGGTCAGAATTGACTCAACAGCACTTAATAAACAACAAGGAGACTAGGAATCCTGGTATGTCACTGTAGGATAAACATTGGACTGCTAACCACAAGGTTGATAGTTTAAACCCAGCAGCCACTCCTCAAAAATCCTATACTGTCTTGCTATGAGTTTGAAATGACTCGATGGAACTAACAACAATGACAAAGGCACTAAGACAGAGAGAACTTGTCTGCAGTTATTAACTGATCCCAGAAACATGTTTATACACATTTTGTTTGGAATAAACACATGCATGTATGAAGTTAGATCCTAGAAGTAATGTTTTTGAAATTACCCTTAAAGATGCACTCCTTGGAGATATGTTAATTAAAAATCATAATATCAAAATTTTCCTCTGTGTTTTCAATCATGTGAATTCAAGTAAAGAGTTAGATGACTTCAGGTAAAAGAGTTCACCTTTTGCCTTAATAATGTTGGTATATATATTTAATGTTGCTCTGCATTCAATTTTGACTCATGATTGTCAGAATTGAGCTCCATAGGTTTTTCAGTGACTGACATTTTAGAAGGAATTTCTTTTAAAATACCGCTGGGTAGACTCAAACCTTAATGCTTATGGCTAATAGCAAAGTACAGTAACTGTTTATACCACCCAGGGCCTCTGTGGTATATTAAAACCGAATCCACTACCATCAAGTTGTTTCCAAATCATAGAGCCCCTACAGGACAAAGTAGAATTCTCCATAGGGTCTCCAAGGCTATACATCTTTATGAAAGCAGACTACATACATCATCTTTCTCATGTGAAATATCAACTATGATTGTGATGATGGTGCAGTGTTTCATTCTGTTGTACATAGAGTCACTAGGAGTCAGAACTAACTAAATGGCACCTAATAACAAAAACAACAATTACTGAGGAGGGAGGTTATTTTCCAGATCATATATTTAATGTGGATTCCTGGTGTGGTGCTGTACGATAAGCACTGGACTGCTGCTAACCGAAAGGTCTGTGGTTCAAACTCACCATCACTCTTTGAAAACCCTACACAGGGTCATTATGATCAACTCGAAGACACACAACGACAATAACAACAATATTTGATGTAGAAGGACTGATTTATTTTGGGGAAAATATGCCACAAAGGACATATCTTTCAAAAGAGGAAAAAAAATGTTCCAGGACATAAGGCATATGAAGGATGTCATTCCTGTGGTTAAGAGCTGCCCCATCGGTTCCAATTCATAGCAACCTTGTATAGGGTTTCCTAGGAACAGCTGGTGGGTTTAACTGCCGACCTTGGGTTTCACAGTCCAGTGCTTGTCACTGATTGAATCGGTGTTGTTAAGTGTCATGAGTCTGTTCTGACTCATTGTGACTCTGTATAGGATTTCTGAGGAGCAGTTGTGTTGCTTACTAATAATT